TATATATATATATATATATATATATTGAACATTTAAAAGGCTTCATGTTTCAAAAGCTGTTAACTGCGTTTCATTGTCAATCGACATTTTTAAAAAAATATATCTACAAATATGAATGAGACAACATTGCAAATACTACAAAATACTATGAGATTTGTACCATGTATATCTGACCATAAATACCAGCATCAGTCACAGTTTTGCTAGTCCATCCAAGATTTGTCAACTAACTCTAGCCTTGTAGCTTATAAAAACACGTAAAAATGACAAACTAAAATATGAAAATTGAAAATATAAAAATAATAGTGAATTCAAAATAGAATAAATATTACTAAAAGAATACTGGTTGTACACTGTAGAATTTACGGTCTTGATTTGAAGCATAGTGGCAAAGCATGTGTATGTGTGCAGCACAATGGAGTCAAACTTCCCCTCAGGGACAATTCAATATCAATTTCAACTGAATATATCCAACTATTTAAATACCCAGCCCTTTGAATTGCTCAAACAATCCTGATGTGCTATAGATAGACAAAAACGACAGGCAGTGAGAACACAGACCTTGCGAGGAGCATCTCGCTGCAGCCTGCGGTGGACATCCAACCCTGCCCACATCCAAGAGTAACGTCACAAACCATGCCCATGTCAAAATACGTCACATTCTCATTCATTTTGAAACAAGAAGCATCGATAAGAAGATCATTCGTATTGTTTGCAAACCGCTAAAAAAAGTTGTTGTTTGCCGTGTCGGTAAGTAAAAAAATATATATATTTGATCTAAATCGGATAAAGCAAGAGATGTCTTTTTATTCTTTGAGTATCTGGAGGAGCTGGACATATTCATATCAAATTGTTTTGATGAACAAGCCCTAAAGGTCCATGCCATGTTCTGTGAATAATCTATCAGAGCAAGGAATCTCTCTGTGTAGTCTATGTGTGCATTTATGTATGTATGTGTGTGTACTGCATGTCAAGAAATGTTTTTCTGATCATTCAACTGTTCATTCAGCTGCTCAGACTTTATAATAGTTGGAACATATCTTTTGTTAAACACTACCAGTCAAAAGTTTTTGAACAGTAATAATTTTTAATGTTTTTTTTTTAAAGAAATCTCTTCTGCTCACCAAGCCTGCATTTATTTGATCCAAAGTACAGCAAAAACAGTACAATTTTAAAATATTTTTAGGTTTTAACTAAGTTTTCTATTTGAAACAGTTTTCTATATTTCTATTAACATGTAATTTATTCCTGTGATATCAAAGGTGAATTACTCCAGTCACATGATCCTTCAGAAATAATTCTAATTTTCTGCTCAAAGCATTTATTATTATTATCATTATTATTATTATTATGTTGAAAACAGCCGAGTAGATTTTTTTTCAGGTTTCTTTGATGAATAGAAAGTTCAGAAGAACAGCATTTATATGAAATAGAAATCTTTTGTAAAATTATAAATGTCTTTATCATCACTTTTGATCAATTTAAAGCATCCTTGCTAAATAAAACTATTAATTTCTATACCCTATACCCTAATCTTTCTGTTCTAAAGACTTTTGACTGGTAATGTATATTTTTTGTAAAATTTTACATTTCATTATTTTTGTAAAATAATAAATAAATACCCAATGAAACAATGGATGTCTTCTTTTATTCATCTTTAAGTATGTGAAGGACCTGGACACGTTTCATATCAAGTTGTGATGAACAAGGCCTGAAGGTCAATGCCATGTTAGTTATATAATCTATCAATGCAAGCAATCTTTCTTCAGCATGTGTGTTGGCTACTGCATATGGAGAACTGTTGATTCTGTCATTCAAATGTTAACGCTTTATGATAAGTGGAACACATCTTTAGAAAATTAAATGACAATTATACAATACCAACTTTTACAATAATTTTACATACTTTTACAAAACCAAAATCTAATTGTCCCCTTTAAATTTGATACATTTTACCTTGGGTACACTCTTAAAAATAAAGGTGCTTCAAAAGGTTCTTCAAGCGATGCCATAGAAGAACCATTTTTGGTTCCACAAAGAACCATTCAGTCAAAGGTTCTTTAAAGAACCATCTCTTGCTTATCTTTTTATAATCTTCAGATGTTAAAAGTTCTTTATCGAACCATTTAGACAAAAAGGTTCTATGGCATCGTGAAGCACCTTTATTTTTAAAAGTGTAGGTCAAAATCGATCGTAATAAATGTGAATTTATATCATTACATAAATGAACAAGGTCAGATTTAAAAGTTTTAATTAACAATTATCCTACTTTAATCAATGCAAGCGTTTTACAGGCTGTTGTGATGACGAAATCAGCTCCGTATATTAGACCTATTAAATATTAGATTTAAGTTGTGGCATTTTAGCCTAGACATCCTTTACAAAAAATAAGAAAACGTGTATTAGTAAAACGAAGGACAACATTATTTGATTTAGATCCTCAAAACCTCCATAAATTGCTTCGACATACTTCTGGGTTTCCCCGGTAGGGGGATAGAGAAATCACAAGGTGACGTATTTGATATGGGCGTGGCTTCCGACGGCACACTCGGACGTGGGCTGGGTTGTATCGGGGATGGGCGTGACTTTCGACGTCACACGTGGATGTGGGCGGGGTTGGATGTCCACCGCAGGCTCTGCAGCGAGCCCTACTGGGACCTTGCTGCATTGTATCCAGAGAACAACAATGGTTGACTATGCAGGTTTACAGCACTGGCCTAAGCTTAACAGCTGTCATCGTCGCACTCTGTCTGTTTGAAAACCTAGAGGGTTTAGGCCTACACTGATAGCACTTCTGAGTATCAAGACGCACCTATAATGCTGTTACTATAATTACTTTTTCCTGCCTTCAAAGACTGACAGCAGCGCGAGCAAATAGTATTCGAGCGCGGGCTGTGAAGAAGCCGTTTATTGGTTGGGCCTACTAAACAAATACGCCCCCTTCAATAAAGAAGTCGCTGTTCGGACTGAAGGAGGCCTCACATTTATAAACACACTGAATTGGCTTGCCATTCTTGGTTGTATGCTGAAAATGTATTATAAATCTATTCAGATTACTTTTTTAACCTAACTGATAAAATAATGCCCAGCAGTCGACAAATATGGAGGCTAAAATGACAATTATTAAATCATTTGGGATTTTTGTTGTGACTCAGCCGATCTCTAGACACAAACTTCAATATAGCGTAGTAAGATTTGTGAACGAATCGGCTGAGTAAATGATTCAATGACTCACGCATAACACAAAGGGAACTTGTCGCCACCTACTGTACTAACAAAGTAATCTGTAGCAATGTTGACTGAGCGAACTGATTCGAATCTTTAAAATGAATTAAAACCCCAGTTGCAGTGCTGTCATTCTCCTACAGTTTCCGCACACACGTGTGTGGGTTTGTAATCTAATATGGCATTCATTTGGACGTGGTTTTGCGAGGAGCGAGATAGATGAGAAGAGATTATAGCCTCTACAGATAACCCATTTCTCACCGAGAACTATTAACTCCATCCATTGTCCCAGATCTAATCCAGAGAGGGCAGCTAAACCAAATCAATACTTCAAACTTGGCCTATTCAAAACACATTGCACACTCGCAGTCTCAAAATCTAGGCTAGACAACAACCTAGTGATCTGCCTACCTAGACAACATTTGGGCACCTATGATGGCCCAAAATTATCCTTCGATACACATACTGTAGGCTTCAGTGTGTGTGTGCGTCCAAAAAGAGTCACGAATGGTTCTGGGTTTACAAGAAAATACCAAAATTACACGTTAATCCCAGCACAGTAGATTATGCAAGAAACGGGTTGTTTATCCCCCTCCCTCCCTCCCTCCACTCAAGCAGCACAGCTTCATTCTACAACCACACGATACAGACGCTTCAATAAAGTAGCATGTTTAACACTGGACACTAAAACGGCAGATATGGACAGCAAAAGTAACCGTGTGTGTTCAAACAAATCTACTCCATCCATTGTCCCAGATCTAATCCAGAGAGGGCAGCTAAACCAAATCAATACTTCAAACTTGGCCTATTCAAAACACATTGCACACTCGCAGTCTCAAAATCTAGGCTAGACAACAACCTAGTGATCTGCCTACCTAGACAACATTTGGGCACCTATGATGGCCCAAAATTATCCTTCGATACACATACTGTAGGCTTCAGTGTGTGTGTGCGTCCAAAAAGAGTCACGAATGGTTCTGGGTTTACAAGAAAATACCAAAATTACACGTTAATCCCAGCACAGTAGATTATGCAAGAAACGGGTTGTTTATCCCCCTCCCTCCCTCCACTCAAGCAGCACAGCTTCATTCTACAACCACACGATACAGACGCTTCAATAAAGTAGCATGTTTAACACTGGACACTAAAACGGCAGATATGGACAGCAAAAGTAACCGTGTGTGTTCAAACAAATCTCAGTGTCCCGCATGAATATTTTACCCATTTGTGCGCATTTTCCAAACACAGAGTCAGCCCTTTCCACGCACAGCTTGTGAAAAAATCATTTAGTCTGTGTTTGAGGGAGCAGAGTATGACAGTACAGTGTGTATACAGGCTGACATATACCAGCGTTTTAATGTAAAAACGCATTCCAGCGGTGTGCAATCAAAAGATACTGGACACTGTTATTTGCAATAAAACATACGAATGACATCATAACGCTTCCATACAGATTAAAATTATTTCTTTCATTACAACATTATGTGATGCATCACATCTAAACAGAAAAGACACGCGTTATCTATATTCTAGTATATAGCTATTCTAGTAAATCTGTGGATAAAGTGAAATCACAGCATGCACTAAGTGGCACTTGCGCGAGGTTTATTAAAGAAAAAAACACACACATCAGCTGATGTTACACATTCACTTGAAAGCTTCCCCACCTTGCAGAGCTGGAAGTGTTCAGACTGGAGCGTCTCCGGGATGAGCTCGTTCTCCTTGGCCCCGAGCTGCGGGGATGGAGAAGGGGACGACACGGCCGTCAAGCCGTCCAGCACCTTACGAATATTAAACTTCTTCATTTTCCCCCCGGTGCGAGAGACGGAGGGGGACGGGAGCACCGAGTCGAGATCAGCCGTGGATGATGAGAGAGAAAGCCGCTCGCTCGTTTCTGCAGCACGTCTCTTTAAACCTCACATTTTAAGTGTTTTTCACCGTGTCCTCCATGGCTAAAAGCTTGGGTTGTGAACGTTGATATTTTTTGCTTTTTATTAGCGTTTGTGGGGTGTCCGTTTATTCTGACTCTGCGTCCCGCTGCGTCTCAAATTCCCTCTATCCTCTCTCTCCCTCTCTCTCGCTCGATCCCTTCTGCTCTCCACTCAACGCGGAAACACCGCTGCAGCGCCACGCATGCGCACTCCAGACTGGATGACTACTGAAGCTGAAGCCGCCTTCCAAACGCTTTTCCCGGTGTCCAGGCAAGACTGTGGAGCGCTGAGTGAGCCTAGCGTCACATTGCAGAAATGAGGGGCTGGACTCTGCACCTGAAGTGGAGCCGCAGGGATGCAGGATGGAAAGCGCATCAGTTAACACATAAAAGTCATAATATGCATCACTTCTTTAGGTTAGCCTGCACGCTGTAAAACAGATTTGATAGGGGAGATATTTTTTCAGATTATGACTATTTTTAAGGTTAATTTCTCCATAGGCACATATCTCTATATATACATTTTTGGCTACAAAAAGATATCCATGGTTGTTCTCTAGGAAGAAACAGGGCTCTCACGGTCATGGAAAATCTGCACATTTCAAGGAGTCAAGAAATTTCTTGAGACAATATGTTTCTTGTTATATTCAGCCCCAAAATATTTAATTGGGTTGAAATCTATATTATTAAAAAACATATATTAGCATCATTATTATTTTAAATCCTTACCTGGTAATCTGAATGAATGTAAAAGGCATGGAAATTCATTGGTCAAAATGTATTAATGCAAAAAGAATAGGCTAATTGAAAACATGTTAATTTGTGACTATGCACTCCAATAGTGTGACACTGTATGGGGTAAGTTGTCACAATGGAACTTGCTGTTAAATATTAAACAGCTTATTATTGAACTTCTGAAACATGCATTTTCTGTAAAGCTGCTTTGAAACGATTTGCATTGTGAAAAACTATACAAATAAATGTGTATTGATTTAAGCAACATTAAACAGGAAATCTGTTCAAGATAACAAAAATAGTATGTGTATAAAATGTATTTATAAACATACTCTTGTCTGAATGTATCTCGGTGTGGCTTCGTTATGTTAAATTGTTACACAAAAGCTATAACTATAAATATGATATGCAAATGTTAGTTTGCAGGATATAATTGAGGTATTTCTCATGTAAGACCGTTTGAAATAAACACGAATCCACCACTACAGAAAACAATCATGTGTGCAATTGCAATTAGATTTTTAACTAGACTTTTAATTTGAAAACTGATCATTATAAAGGTTTGCCAGCTATCTAGCTCAGTGTTTGCTTTCGTATGTCTGATGTAAGATAAAGAGGGTCAGAAAGTAGAGGTCACAATGGCTCAACCGTCAGTCTTGCCACTGCTGTTTAAGAGTGTGTTGCTAGCAAGTGATTTAGACACCTGCCCCTGTTTAATGAAGGCCAAGTTTACTCTTTGCGATCTGCAATGAATGTCTGGTAGAGGCCAGTTTGTCTCCGTCCATGAGATGAAATTAGATTATTTTGGGGAAAATTTTAACACCACTTAATCAAACCAGCTGCTGAGAAGAACTGTACATGCCGGACAGCATGTCCAACTAATTACTTATTGCAAAATCAAATTAATACCATATTCATCCAATTCATCCAAATTAAAAATGTTTAACTTGGATTCAGTTGTAAAGGATAAAATCATCAATAAAAAGCCAATGCATCCATGTAAATTTAGGGTAACTATTCACAGTTTAGATTAGATATCATTATAAAATAGGGTATTATGGCCTGATCAGTGAACAGATTTAAAATAAAAAGTTAGTCACAGTATATGTAAATAAAGTCGCTGAGAACCCATGACAACCACGCTGATGAAGACAAACACTAGGCCTTCACTGAGGTTTGGAGATCCCTTTGATTCTCTACCCTTTCATACTGTTACGATGGAGATAAGCGTTGCATGCATTTCCTTATCAGGCCCTGGGAGAGGCTGAAGAGACCCTTATAAGGTAAGGGTTTAATGTGCCTCATGTACGTATGAGGCACTGACCAATCACCTGCTTGCTACACACACAAAACACTCCATAAACCACACACTGACATCAATGACTTCAATGGTTTCTCAATCACTCTGCTCCCTTTTATTCATGACAATAATAAGAGAGAGAGAGAGTTTAATATTCTGCATTAAGTGGGTATGAGATTGACATTTGTAAGCTTTGTTAAGACCCTCCCACTGATGAATGTTTGGCTAGTATGCTAAGGAGGGGCCAAAGTTTACAGAAGCATTACTAAAGCAAGGTACTCCTTTGCTGACTTGGGTTTCATGCAAGAAGCTATAAACCCCTCTAATTATAGATGCAGCATTGCAATTTAGCACATACCATTGCACGATCACAATAAAAAAAAAAACTTCATTTTTTTTTATTTAGTCATACCTCTCTTTCCTATTTTAATTGATGTGTTTAATGAAAATGTAAAGTTTAAAAATTAATTAATTAAAAAAGCGTGCGCTAGCGTCCTCGTGCGGGTTATCAGGTTAATTTAGTTACTATGTGCAATAAATACATCATTTTTTAAATATTTAAAAATTAAATACAAATTAAAATAAAAAACAAATGTAAAGAAAACTGTACAGTACAGTACACACTCACAAACACACATTTTCATTTTAAACTGTTTAAAGAGTTATGCTAAATTGATATTTACAATTATTATTTATCGCTCTATAGAAATTATTTTTTAAAACTTAAATGATATTATAATTCACATCTCTATTTCTCCCTAATCAAAAAATATTGACACACTTTTTATAAAAATATCAGAAACTTTTGACAGTAATTAATCTCTGCATCAATCAAAAAACATTGACAATCTTTTTATGAAAATATCTGAACATTTTGACAGTAATAAAGATAATCTTCTCTGCATCACCACAAAAACTGCATTCATTACATCCTATGATGTCAATTGCCTGTCCAATCTAATTAGATGTCCCTTTCCCCTTGGCATGCTTAGCCCCGCCCCCTTTTAAACCGGGCACCTATTTTACTCTGATGATGATTACACAGCGATTGTGTACTTTATTTCATAATCAGAAGGCCCATGTCATTATTAGTTTGTTTTGATGACCTCTAACAAGTTATGAATAATTCATAAAGTGTTTCAATATGCAAATAGCCGTCTTCTGTGATTGAACACAGGGTTTTAAACTGAGGGGAATGTAAAGTGTGTTTAAAATTGAACTGTATTATAAGGAACAGTGTATTCAAATTAATCCACCCCTAATCCTACAAAGAAAGAGCTGGATGTGACATGGCTTTAAAGGGACATCATTAAGCTATAATAACAAATAAACTCACACATTTACACACACACACTCACACACACACACCACAGGGCTTTAGCAAAATGCACAACGAGAGCTACATTTACATTTCAAATAGGCTATGCTTCCTAACACGAATGCAGAATGTGATCAGATTGCCAAATTGTTTATAGTCTTTGGTTTACAGGTCTGTAAGTAGCTCTCACACAAGAGACCTTCAGAAGGATCCGCATCTCTGAATGCCAATTCAGTCTGTTTGCATCATCTGCTTCATGAACAGATGTTGATTCTGTATTACCGCCTTAAATAATGCATCGACAGCATCTTAATGATCTGAGAAGGCATGAGAGGTTTACGATTTGGATAGAAAGTAATATTTCCATTCAGCAAACAATCCCAAAATTTATCTTGATGTTTCTCAAAATAATGTTTTTAAAGGGATAGTTCAAACAAAAATGAAAATTCTGTCATTGTTTGCTCACCCTCATGTCATTCCATATCTGTTTGACTCTCTTTCTAATATAATTTGAAGAATTTGAAGGCATTTCTGTTTTTGGATCATTTAGTTTTGTAGTTGCAAAGGGTGAAATCCTCTATTGGGAAAATGATGTGGTTGTAATTAGCATTACATGAAAACAACAGAAGACTACACTATGGTACAGTATGTCCCCATTTTAGATAAATGTGTGTGTGGGTGTACAGACTTGACAACTAAAAGTCGGTGCTACAAGGAGGAACATTAGGAGAAGGATGTCTCATTTGCACTCATTGCAACACATCTGCTATCAGCGGGAATAATCAACAGATGCGATAAGACACCCATCAACAATTCTCAGCAGACACATTCACACACACACACACACACACACACACACACACACACACACATACACACATACAGACAGATGAACTCACTGTGATGACTAAACTGCAGGCTGCTGGCAATGACACTAAAACACCCATCTTTGAGCTTTGGGAGGAGGACCTGTAACGTAAATAGCACAATAAGATACAGAAGGACAGAGAAATTATGCTAAACATAAAGGAGACTCTTTCGAATGACAGAGGAAAAACAGATATATATTATCCCGAGCTTCATTAATTAAGTATTAAAATAAGTATTATTCATAGACACTGGACTATAAATCCTGTGACTGACTGAAAGGTCAATCTAACTGATAAGGTCAAGTACGGTGTAAGTGTACATTTTTGAAGTGTTCAGAGTTCTAAATTTGAAGCATTTGTCCTGATATGGACTAAAGTGAGGAATATCTTTTAAATGTGAACTCCCAGGCCTGTATTGCACAAACTTCTCTCTAAAAAATCTAGAATCTTATCTGTTCACCATGATGATTCAATTTAGGATCTCATTTTAGACAAAAGTCATTACTGAACTTAAGGAAGTTTCTGTAATATGTCTCTGAAAGCAGTATCTGAGTCTACACTATCTCAAGCACAAAAATCAAGCAAAGAGGAAAAGGGTTTTTCCAAAGGTTGAATGGCATGTCTTGTGTGTTGTCAGGGTTTTAAATAATACC